CTAGAAATCCATCTTTCCAAATTTAATACAGCCAAGAACGCAGGAAAAACAGTACCCTTCTACATTGATTGTGGGACTTTCAATTGGCATAGCCTTCCCAAACAGCACATTGGCAAAAGCCTGCAAGTTCTTATGCCTTAGGAAGTAAAGACCATCTCAGTATTGATTTATCACATTATTTATCATAGTAAAGCTTTGGAAAACATCTGAAAGTCCAGCAGTTCTAGGCCCACTAATGTGTGTGGGTTTCCCAACCCCCATTAAAGGTCTGCAGAAACTTGAATCTCAGTTGTATAGTAGACCCTGGATGTCACGGACCTCTCCAGTTGATGACTTCCAACCTTCTCTGACTTTTGAGTACAAACAGCTTTGTTTCCCACCCACTGCTGAGAATGTTCAACAACTTTCCATTGCAACCCTCTGGTTAATGTCTCTCTCTTACCTGTTCACTGCAACATGGTTAAATACTTGGTTGCTAATCAAAAGGTTGGAGTTCTGGTGTGGTGCTGTGGGCTAATGCATCAGACTGCAAAGTCATTTCAATTGCAAGGTCCATGGCTCCGTGTTTCAAGCTCATCAGCTGCTCCTTCAAACCCTGTATAGGGTTGCTACCAGTCGGACCCTGTATAGGGTTGCTACCAGTCGGAATCAACTCGATGGCCCTTCTTAACAACAATAATGAGAAGGTTGGCAGTTCAAACCATAGCAGGAAGAGCTGGCAGTTTGCTCCCATACAGATTAGACTAGAAAACCCTGTGGGGCCCAGCTGTGCTGTCAGTGGGGTCACTATGAGTTGGGATCGAGTCGATGACACCCAACAAGAACAACAACAACACTGTATGAAAAATAGCATTTTAAATGATTAATTAGAGAGTAGACATATATTAACTTGAGTGACAGAGAAGGCTTCCTATAATAAGAGGGTGGTGAGCAAAAATGATGGAGGCAGGAAAAGACTGTCAGGAATTAGAGGCAAGAGGGGTAAATACTGTTACATACAAAGTCTTTCAAAATTGCTGTTCTACAGGTGAGCGCATGGATGCACACACACAGGCCGTGAGAGGGAGAGTGCAATTATATCCACAAACATATACACGTTTGACAGAAGATACTTCTACATGTAT